CGTGCCTAGGGGCACGCGGCAGCAGCTGGCCAGGGCGAAAGGAGGAGGAGAGGTGCTGGGTAGGAGGCAGGAAAACGGCAAAGTTCACTGCATCGCCGATGCAACGTCCTTTTCCCCCGGCTTAAAGCCGAACCTGGGAGAACGCAGTAACAGACCGTTCTGTGAGCTGTTTGGGCGGGGAGAAAATTACCTTTTCCGACAAGTAGCACAGTCCACAAAAGAGACTCGAGCTAGTTTGTCTTCAGAGAGCGAGGACCAGGTCACTGCAAAATACGAGCATGGGTAGACGGGCGCTTTCTCACGTCTGCGGCGATCGCCACGCGGACAGCAAACGTTAAACCCGGTACTTATTAGTGAGAGGGATCTGGAATGAAAACAGCGGGCGAATGCTTTATTTTTTAGTCGTAAGAACTGATTTAGTTTTTGTAAATCTTTGTAACTTCCAGCACAACGCTGACACCACAGTCTTGGGGATGACTGGCCTGATCCTGCTCATACACTGAGGCAGGAAACTCCAGTTGCCTCTCAAGCGGTCGAGGAGGATTTGTCAGGCCAAAGCCCTGTGAAGGGGTCAATGAGTGGGTTGCTCGAGTACAGACTGTGAGATCCAGCCCCTGATCATATCACGGGTCTTTGGGCGACACTTTTTGCTGCTAGACTACCTTATGCCAGCATTTCCGCTTCATGCTGCCTGCCTGCTCGCAGAGGTAAAGTCCTCCACAGCAAGAGTTAGGGATCAGCCTGGGACAAGAGGCTACAACTATTTCCAAAAAGAAAGGCGAATAGAGAAAAAAAAAATCACATTACTCAGTCAATTCCAGGAACAAAATCAATGTGTACAAAGTAGCCTGTTTACCAAACCATGAGTAAATGATTGCTGTTTGTAAACATCTCCAAGCAAGGATAGGTGAGAAAACCCTTCACGTGAAAACATGCCATAAGTAGTTAGGCTTAATCTTAAAATTCAGAGGTAAAGCTCTTCCAGCTGGCATTGGTTTGGAGGAAGGACAGAAGGCGTTTTACTGGAATTAGCTCGTTTTAGAGTCATTTAGCTGTTATGTAAATACAGCTATAGACCGAGTTTGGTTTTTGTGGGTTTCTTTAATAAATTGTGTTAAGAGGCAAAAGAGATGCAATGAAAGAAAACCAAATACATTTATAAACAAAGTACTTCAAAGACTACCTGAAAGCCAGAAAAAAATAAGGAAGGAAAATTTTGTTTCAAGAAAATCTCTGCTCATTATTCCCTATATATTTCAGTATTCCTGTGAGCAAAGGAAACTCTTTTGTGCCACCTAATGTTAAGTATAGATCACTGTTGTCTTTGCTCTCCTGTCACACGTTATGTGCACGCAGAGGCCTGATTTCCAAGGGTGCTGAGTGCTCAGTTTCCATTACCATCCACACAGGAACGAGGAGCCCAGCACTGCTGAGCATCAGGCAGCATCCCCGTAAGCTCACTGAGAGAGCCAGCTAATGCTAGGAGTTACCCCAAAGCAACAGCAGGAAGACAAACTTCAGATTCGCACTCATGAGTCACGGGTACTCCTGAATACATGAAATTATTAAAAAAAAAAAACCATCTGGAAGAGGGGGAAGGGAGTCCGGGGCATAATCATAAGAACCAGGTCTTGGTTATACTAGTGTAAATCTAAAATGAGTAAATCCAGGCTTTTTATAAACTGCCAATCATGCGTATATCAAACCGCCGGCTGCAAAACTCGGGATTTGCAGCAGCTTCCCGCTTAGCTCTGCTTTGAGAGCGGGTGAGGCCTTGTCTTTGCAGTCTTTCCACAGGCATAGCTCCCAGTGAGGAATTAACACACCAAGAATTTATGGTGTGTACTTAGCAGCCATTAACACTAATGGAAGATACTAATTTGGTATTAAATATCTCACACAGTCCTTTAAAGAAGAAAGGGCTGAAAGAAAGTATTTCTCTGATAACAATGAATTACACTGCTTTTGTGATTTTAATGGAGAGTGTTAAATATCTTTAACAATTTTTGAGGCTGAATCTCCTTTGCTTTTTATGTTATTTGAAAAGAAGAGAACCTGAGACTTCCTTCATATTTAAATTTCAAATATGCTCAAGCTGTGTTCTCCTCCCCTTTAAAGAAGGCCAATACCATATGAAGTTGTTCACTTGAAAGTAAAATTACTAAGAGTAAGCAGAGATACTGGCTTCCCTTCGTAGCAATCCTTACAGATCATTCAGAATATAAACCAATAAGTCCACACTTAAACTGTATTTGACCTAGAGACTTCTAAAATCCTTCAAAATGAAGTAGTTAGAATTTTTTGTTCTTTCTTTTTCTTTTTCTTTTTTTTTAAAGTAGTAATTCCATAGCTTCATGTAGAGCAGACTGGAGCATCAGGTCATATTGGGCCCTGCATTCATATGCCAAAATCATCACTGATTTTTACGGCAGATCCCCATCTAGATGGAGGTACATTTAACCATAGCTCGTTCCTTCAGGAGCCAGGAAATGTGCGTGGTAGGGGGTGAGGCACACTGCAGCCAATTGGCTAAGGGTCCGATCCCAAAACACAGACATAATTAATCATTTTACTCACGAGAGCAGTTCCCATTTAATTTAGTGAGATCATCCATGCAAATTAAGTTATTCATTTGTGTCTTTGCACAATCAAATTCAAAGGCTCCATCCTAGAAAACTGTATATACAATATTTTATGCAGCTGACCAGTCCCCCTGAATGGCTGATATCCCTGAAAATACTCACAGAGAATCAGGGCCCAAATTTGTGCTTGCTCTCCCCTTTTTCTAAACTAGTATCCT